ACTGATAATTAAATTTTTTAATTCTGGGAAATCAAACTCAGAAACTGCATCTTTGTTAGACTTATCGCGGTACAGTGTGAGAAATATTGTTAGAAGATATAACGTAACTGGTTCAGTTAATATTAAGCCACGATATGTGAAAAAAAGTAACATCACAAATGCCGACCGAAGAGCGTTAAGAAGAATAATCGTGAAAAACAGGCGTGCCAATTATTTACAATTAAGTGCTCTGTGGAGTGACGCTGTTGGAAGGAGAATTTCGAGGTCCGCAACTCATAGAGAGGCCCACAAACTAGGATTTAGCACTTGCAAGGTAAGTTTTTTTATAAAAAAAAAGTGAAGTAAAAACCCTTAAGTTGCACAACTTGTATATAGCCCAAAGAAAAGCCACTATGAACTCCACTGCAAAAGAAAAATCGGCTTAGATGGGCTAAAGAACATAGACAATGGACACCTCAACAATGGTGTGCAATACAATGGAGTGATGAGGCCCGATTCGAAGTTTGTGTTGGTGACAGTCGCAGTAGAGTTATTCGCAAAAAAATGAAGCATTCCATGTTGACTGTCTGAAGAGAAATGTGAAATTTCCAGCATCCATTATAGTCTGGGGCAGTATGTCATCAAAAGGAGTAGGAAGACTTCATTTAATTGATGGCAATGTGGATACAAACAAATATTTGGCAATTTTAGAAGAATCGCTTTTACCAGTGATGGAAGAATGTTTGACATCCGGCCAAGATTTTGTGTTTCAGCAAGATGGTGCAGCGTACCATACCTCAAAAAAGGCTATAAAATGGATGGAAGAAAATAATGTACCACTTTGGAGATGGGTTTCTGGCCGTCCAGATCTGTCACCTATTGAAACTTTGTGGCACGAGATGAAAAAGGTTCTATGACAACATCCTGCTCGTACAATCACCGAACTGGGACAAAAGCTTCAAGAAATATGGGATTGTTTTACGCCAAATTTTTGCCAAAACTTGGTTGACACCCCAAAGAATTTCAGCCGTAATAAAAAATAAAGGTGATGTTACCCAATGGTAATCTTTCAATTGTTGCTTTGTTAACTTCGCGCATTTATTCGCACATTGTTTATTTGTTCAGATGTTCCATTAGTTATAGGTCTAAGTGATTTCAAATGTGTATTTTTTACGACTAGAGTGTATCTAAAATGTTTTTGAGGAAATAAATTGTTTTAGAAGTAAATAGTTTCGTCATGTTTAGTTTATCAAGGCATATTTTGGTACAAATCTTGAAGTGGGCCAACTGAAGTGGGAAGGGGCTCGTATAAATGAGGTTTCCCACAAAAGGATTATTATTAAAAGTGTCAATATTAATTACAAAGCATTCCAAATAGCCACGTTGACCATCTTGCCGCACATTTTTTTTTTCAACTTGCCTTACATATCGACCCGTGCAAGGAAGACTATTGTAACTCAGTTTTGGTTGAACTGGTATATAGGCATTACCAGATTTTCTGGTTAATTTCGTTGTCAGAAAAATGACGATCTCATCAAAAATATGTTGCACATTGCAGTAATCCTTGTACATAGAAGGTTATAAATAGTACTATAATACAAACCTAGCAAATATGACAATTTTTTTATAAATTTTGTTGACTTGACTATAGTTTTCGTTGGATCAATTAAAGTAAAAAGTACTCTTTCTAGACTTAGTTGGACATTTATTAAAATATTACAGTACAGGGTGGGCCAAAAGTTCCTGACTGATTTTAAAAATTCATAAGTTTTTCCCAAGTTAACATATTTGATTTTTTTTTCAGATTTACAAAGTAGAGCTCTGGATGTTTAAGAATCTAATCCAGAGAACCAAAGTCGTACAATTTTACTAGAACATAATCATTCGATTCTAAACACCAAGAGAGCTTATCGAAGATTTTTTAATGTTCGAAACGCCCCATCCACTGGGGCTATCCGCAGCATTATTCGGCGTTTTCAAACCCAAGGTTCTGTATCGTACCTTCTCCGAAATGGACGACCACGTTTAGCTTTCACTGGAGAAAACATAGAGAGAGTAGAGGAAAGTGTTCATGAGGACCCTGAAACATCGACCAGAAGAAGGTCAACTCAATTAGGCCTCTCCGGGAGATCCCTCAGAAGAATTTTGAAACATGTGCGGGTGTTTCCTTACAAAATTCAAATGGTTCAGCACTTACGACTACAAGATTATGCACAACGACCAAATTATGCAATTCGTTTTCAGCAATTGGTTAGAGAGGAAGAAATTTTTTTAAATCGTCTAATAATGAGTGATGAGGCGCATTTTCATCTGAATAGTTTTGTGAATACGCAAAATGCAAGAGTTTGGGGAAGGCAAAATCCAAAGGCTGTACACGAGAGATAATTACACCCCATTAAATGTACGGTTTGGTGTGGTGTTACCACCCAGGGTATTATTGGGCCTTATTTCTTTCAAAATGAAAATAGACCTGATATGTGGTTCCAACAGGATGGAGCCACAACTCATACCGCTGGAGCCACAATGGCATTGCTAAGAGGCTTCTTTGGAGAACGTCTGATTTCAAAAAGATCGGCAATTGAATATCCCCCACGTTCCCCTGATTGAACCGCGCCAGATTCTTATGTATGGGGATATTTGAAAGAAAGAGTTTACCGCATTAAACTTCGAACCTTAAGACAAGTTATGGACAATATCATAATGGAAATCCGAGCCATAAATCGGGAAACTTTGGAGGCAGTTATGGACAATGTCTTGGAAAGGAATGTTGTGTGTGAAAGAGAAAATGGCCGTCACTTACGCGACATTATTTTTCATACTTAATACGAAAAAAAAACTCCAATAAATATATTTTATTTTTGTAAAAACTACATTAAAAAATATTAATAAATAAAAAAGTTATTGAAGTTTAAAATAGGTCAGCTTCTTTTGGCCCACCCTGTATTTTTCAAACAAACGGTCGCAAAAAACCTCTTTAGTGAGTCACTCAAATTATATTCGTGTTCTTCACTATAATCGTTCTCAACTTCTGTACTTTCAGCACTATTAATATTATGTCCTTTTTGTATTTTCTTATCTTTCTTGGCTTGTAGAGAGAAAAAAAGCAGTTAAGCCTCGGGAATGCTAGGAAGTCTGTTTGCTTTTGATTTTTATAGGTCTAGTAACCCATTTAGTTTTCTAACATCTACTGGAAGCAAGCTTGTGTACAGTAAAGGTAATGTTGAGTATTGTTGTGCGGTCTCATTCTCTGATAATTTTTCTTCGATTTCACTATCGTGAGATCATCAGCATAGTCACACTTATATTTCATTTCACGAGGCACGTCTGAGGAAAAATGGACTTCCTTTATCGTATTTATTTTCAACTCTTCTCCACAATCCTGGCAGAAAGCGCTGTTTCGGGCTGTTTAGCCCTCATCAGTACAATACAGGTCTGTGTCAGGTCCAGACTTGGAGATGAACGAATGAAAAGCAAACATACGAGTGTCGTCTTAGCAAAACCCGAGGACTGTAGTAGTGAATTCTCTGTTAAACTTTTTTATTTCACAGGCATGAGAGAAACAGACTGTGATGCGACAAATCCCAATGCATAACGTGTTGTGTTAAACGAATTCATCACCTAAGGAAGTAAAAAATAAAACTATTTATGAATCAAGCTTGCCTCGATTTAACGGTTCAGCAACTCCACTTAGCTTCTTTGATTCTTGAAATCATTTTAGTTCGCTTTGAAAACTGTTATTTTCATACAGCTACTACTTGAAACGTATCGGTATTAATTATTTACCATATCCTCAAACTATGCCGCGAAAATCATAGTAAATCAGACAGTAGGTCTAACAGTAAGTTCGGCTTTCCGTGATTTTTTGCATCGAAGACTAAAGTAACTCAATTTGATATAGTTTTCGCGGGAACAATGGCCACTATTACACTTACTATATGACGTAGAAGATTTACTGGTTCCCTATTGCTTCATGACTGAGATACCATATTCTTCCGCCAAAGAGAACCCGATAAAGTCTATCGATACCGTATAGTAGGTCAAAAGCAAGGATTTTTGAGTTCCAGGGATAGATATGATCAAGCTGATAATAGGTAGAATGCTTGGAAGAAGAAATGCACAGCAAGACGGTATACTCCCCTGCCTTCCCGACAGAATCGACCATCCGGCAACACTGCTATGACTAACCTCGCCACTCGCCAGCTACCCATCAGTTAGACCCCGACGCAGGTATATCTACGTTTGTTGCTTACGCGTATGTTGAAAATAGTTCTCTATCATTTCAAAGACCAAAATATTGAGTTATAAGCCACTCACCCCCAATCACCAGTTTTTACCCCGATTTTAAAAAAAAAGACCAGAAGCATATGAAATGTCATGCATCAATGTCGGAATACCCTTTACAACGGTACAATGGCCACAAGTATTTTCAACTGTGAAACACCTCCCTATAAATGCGTCATAAGAAAGAAAAAAAGACCGAAAGGGGACGTTTCATATCCATTGGAGTTTCCCGCGGCACCTTGTAATGGTATAAATCTTCCGTGGCGGGGTCGCTTAATCCCCGCTGTCCAGTAATAACCCTCCGGGGTGATCTATCACTTCTAAATTATTAACTTAAACTTTCTCAGACCGAAACCGACCACCGCGTACGTAGAGAAAATACGATACGATCCGGCGGGAACACGCACGAATAAAATTTAGGTAGAACCTGCACTTGTATGGATGTGGCCAGGGGTGGCAGAAAACCGAAAATTGAGAGACCTACTCGTAAACTCAACCAATCAAAAAGAAGGATAAGTGCTCTGTTCGAATCATGGATGAAACCGGAGACAATATCTAAATTGATACGAGGGATGTCTTTTAAGTTTTGCATATAGAAACATAGTAGGCCGCGCGGATCGAACGTCAGTACTGAATCTTAACCTCACTCTTTAGTAAACTTAAATTCAAAGTTTCACAGCAATACATGCAGTGTTCTCACTACAGTAAATTTTTAAGTGTCGCCAAGTGCCTTTAGAAAAATGGAACTCAACCGAGAGCATTTTCGCGCCATAATTTTGTTACAACTTTCAGAGACAATTATCGCAACAAGAATGCCTTGCTGAGTTACTGTCACATCAGTCGACAATTTCCCGTTGGTATGGAAATTCAAACGTGGACGGGTGAGTCTTAGCGACGATCGCAGGGTGGGTGCACCAAAAACGGCAGTCACCCAGGAAAACCTCGATGCTGTGCGCAAATTCATCATTGAAGATAGACATGTGACATATCGCGAGATTGAGGCGTCCTTGAAGATCTCAAAGACCACAATTCAAAAAATTTTACATGAAAAATTAAGAGTAAGAAAATTAGTTTCTCGTTCGATACCCCATCTGTTGACTGACGAGCAGAAAGCAGCCAGGGTTAATTGGTGTTAAAAAACGCTTGACCGTTTCAATTCCGGAAACTCAAAACAATTTTACAGCATTGTTATTGGTGCTGAATCTTGGATTTACTGTTATGAACGAGAAAATAAACGACAGTCGGCTGTTTGGGTGTTCCAAGAAAAGCCAACAAAAGTCATCCGTTCTCGAAGTGTTTCGAAAAAGATGATCGCGACATTTATGTCAAAGCGGGTCATATTACAACAATTCCTCTTACTGAGCAAGTAACTGTTACTGCGGATTGGTATACCACCATTTGTTTGCCAAAAGTCATCACCGAGCTTCGAAAAATCAACCCCGAAAGAAGAATCATCCTCCACCAAGACAATGCAAGCTCGCACACAGCCCAAAAAACAAGGCAGTATTTAACGGAAGAAAACGTGGAATTATTGGACCATCCTCCATATAGTCCCGATCTAAGTCCTAACTACTTCTTTACTTTCCCGAAAATTAAAAACAGACTGCGTGGTCAAAGGTTCCAGTCACCAGAAGAAGCAGTTGACGCATTCAAAAATGCCGTTTTGGATCTGCCAGGAAACGAGTGGAAAATTGGTTCGAGCGCATGCAGATGTGTGGAGAATACTTCGAAAAACAATAAAGTCATTTAAAACTACCTACCGTGTTGTTTTATTTCCATGTGCAAAACTTAAAAGACATCCCTCGTATTATAGCATTTACTGAGCATTTTACTGAAGATAACAGCGTCATGTTGATTTCGAAGGCGAAAGGAAAAGCGCGCGTGTGCAAACGTTGTTTTAAGGTGTTGTAGCTTACTTATCTTCCTTACGCTGGTAATAAATGAAACAGATGTTAAATGGACTAGCTTACTGACGATTCAGCTACCTCGTCAGCAAAACCCTATAAAGTGTCGACTCGTTATCAAAAAGTTTATGAAACTAACGAGGATTTACCTGATAATCTTGCAATGAATAATAGGCATTACTGTAGACGTACCCTGGCATATGTGGTCTTCATAATACTGGAGTTCGGTTATCTCCAAAAAAAGTTAACTCAAATTGAATGTGTCGAAAATAGACCTCAACAAGAAAACCCAAATTAATAGTCAATAAAACACAATACCACGTTAACATCAGTGCACTTTTTCCTTCCCTTCTTCAAAATCGATAGGTGCTTGATTTGACCTTGTACGGGTGATAATCAAAGACAAGGAAAGAACCACAACTTTTCTTTGTCCTTAAAAAGCTACCTGTCCTATTGAGTTTCCTGAATTCTCGAGCAGCTCGTGCCAGATCTATTCCAGCTTCCAGCATAAACATATAAAAATCAACTTCCCCTGAAACTGACCTTGTAAGGATCATGGTCACGATCAACATTACACCTCCCAGCACCTTCCTACGGGGTGCATTAACGAAATATTTCTTTCAGTATACTGATTCTCCGAGTTTTTGGTCTGAAAACAATAGTCGGTACCATTTTTTCCAAATCAGGCAAACGTTATCCGCCTACTTCTCAGAAATTAATCGTAGGATTGCTTTGGTCCTATGGGCACCTTTGTTCGGGAAGGCAAGAAATATGTCATACCGAATTTTTAGACAAATCAATCCATTTTCTATTTTTTTTTGTGCCTGATCCTTTGCTTCATGAATTGCCTTCATAGTTTTTTTAATGCAAAATATTCGTTTTTTGTCTCCTTATAATGGGTGATCTTTTTGGCAAAACTGTTTTTGACAGATGACGCGTGAATCGTGTCTTGTGTCGTTGTCAAACTTGTTCAGTTTGGTGTATAATTTAACAATGAATCGACTTACGAACGAACAACGCTTGCAAATTATTGAATTTTACTATCAAAATTCATGCTCGGTTAAGAGAGTGCATCTACCACTGCTTCCAATTTATGGGGAATTTGGTCGGCCTACTGAGGGAGCAATTCGGAAGCTTGTGAGTAAATTTCGAACCCAGTTTACATTATTGGACATTAAACCACCAACACGGAGACGTAGAGTGAGGACTGAAAAAAATATTGCGGCTGTATCCGCCAGTGTTAGTGATGACCGTGAAATGTCGATTCGCCGCAGTTCGCAACAATTGGGCCTCTGTTACTCCACTACCTGGAAAATTTTGCGACATGATTTGGGTGAAAAACCTTATAAGATACAGCTGGTGCAAGAATTGAAGCCACACGACCTCCCACAACGTTTCCAATTTCGTGAATGGGCGCTGGCAAAGTTGGAGGAAGATCCACATTTTTATCGAAAAATTGTGTTCAGCGACGAAGCTCATTTCTGGTTGAATGGGTACGTTAACAAGCAAAATTGCCACATCTGGAGTGAAGACCAGCCAGAAGCGTTGCAAGAGCTACCAATGCATCCCGAAAAAATCACTGTTTGGTGTGGATTATGGGCCGGTGGCATCATCTTTTCTTCAAAGACGACAATGGCCGGAACGTAACTGTGAATGGCGAGCGCTACAGTGCGATGATAACAAACTTTTTTTGCCCAAAATGGAAGAGACTTGGCTGACATGTGGTTTTAACAAGACGGTGCCACATGCCACACCGCACACGAAACAATGGGCCTATTGAGAGGCGAGTTCGTTGAACCGTTTATCTCACGTTTGGGGCCCGTCAATTGGCCGCCTAGATCGTGTGATTTAACGCCGTTGGACTATTTCTTGTGGGGCCCTGTTAAGGCTAAAGTCTACGGGGATAAACCAGCAACGATTGATGCACTGGAAGCCAATATTGAAGCATTTACTAGTGAGATTCCGGCCGATATGTGTGCCAAAATTGGACCTTGCGCATGGGCCATCGAAAGCGGAGCCGCGGCCAACATTTACATGAAATAATCTTTAAACATTAAATTATATCGACCGTTCTATCGACTCAAATAAAGATTTAATCGCTTTTTCAAATTTTTTGTGTTTTTTTTTTTTGAAAATCAAATCGTATACCTCTTAAAAAATCACCCGTTACAAGTAAACGAAGCTGGGTACGTACGGGTAATTTGGAAAGCCTATTCGAAAAAAAACAGAATGCCGCATAGCTTTACATAGGGTACAAAAATGTTGCATCCGTCGATCTCATCGAAGAAAATGGCACGATTCTTACAATGAAAACTGTGTAATAGAAGAAATAATTTCCTGGTCCTTGACAGATCATGCTTTGTATGCAAGTATCACTTTTCCTCCCACTTTGCCGCCATTGTTCAACCCTACGGATTGAAATTTCTCCAAGCTGCAGCAGCGATGTAATAAATATTTTTTTATTCGACGGATATCTGGAGGAAGCCGCTCGGAAATCATAAATATTTCTCACGCGGCTGCTGGAAATATGGAGTGCAAATAATTCCCTTAGCTCACAGATGAATTTTGTTCTTCCTTTTACACTCACCGGATTATGGATTTTTTAGTCGGTTGAAAAATTACGCCGAATATGGACGCTTTACAAGCGAGAGCTTGATATTAGATATAAAACATTATCCACAAGTATGTATACGTGCAGAAAAAACTGGAACTATAGAGAAATTCGTCGGCAGTAAAAAAATTCTAATGACATCTCAAATAATATCCAAAAAACATATTATTTTATTTTCGAAATTTTTCGCGATTAGGATATTTCCAGTTTCGTGAGAAGTAAAACAAAATCCTAGAACAAATACGAGAGCAGCAGAGTAACCTATGCTTAAACATACCTTAACTTTTTATCGGGTTAAAAGCATTCGTGAACCGTTGTGACATATACCTATATCTTGTTCCGTATAATGCATACGTAAACTCTAATTTCCATAGTATTCATCAACTTTCACTCTCTAACTCCAAGAAAGTTACTGCATAACGAGATCTTTCCTCGAAGTAACATTTGCATATGTTTTGTATCCCAATCTAAATAATAATAACAGCAGCTGTACTTACGGCTAACAACATCTGTGAAGTTGTCAGAACTTTTGAAAGTGTATGGCTTGCTCTGCTCTAATGAAATTAGTTGCTTCTACTAGATACGCGTCCTTGGGGATATAGCAAAGGCTTACGAAAGTTCGAGAGCTTCGATGTTGAATTTCATATGCAAGAACTTAAAGATGCATACCAATAATGACTCACACCATCTATTCCCTATTCGCTACTGAGCGGGGCCGTGGCAAATGCTTGTTCCAGGAGTTGTTGTGTCCAGTATACAACTTCTTCCCGTTCAAGTGATTGTACACGCCTTAAGGAATACCTCAGTACCGATTGACCGGTGGCGGTACAAGTCCGCCAACGGGCTACTTTAGGTCTATTTAATATCAGTAACACGTAAAAAGAAGGTGGTAGACAAGGACCAGTCGACCGAGGCGGTACCACCCGCTAGTTTTTTCCACGGTGTCTTATAGATGTCCGCATGTTTCCACACCTAAGCTATGCAGTCTGTTATCTTCCAAGACAAAGAAATTAATGATGATGGATCCCTCGAGCACTAAGAACTCCGGACGTAAGCTCACTCCACTCTCGGAATGTTCGGGTGGAGGGTCGAGGGAACATCATCGAAGATAAAATTTGTTTTTCGAACCATCTTAACTTCCCCAACTACGAGGTGCACTCCAATCTGACAAAGAACGGCGGAGTTGTGGCTTTTGTCCGCAGCAGTCTTTCCTGCTCCAGAGATGTTTCTTTGGAATCAGACCGGAAGGACATTCTGTGGCTTCGCCTCAACTCCAAACATCACCCAAATTTATTTGCTGCCTTTATCGCTGTCCCTCGGACCATAACTGGGATCACCCCGCTTCAGAGGTAGTCCTTCTCGGTGATTTCAATGCCCATAATGAGCTTTGATTGGGCTCAAACAAGACCGATGCAGCAGGTCGTGCAGTCGAAGCGTTCGCTCTTACCCAAGGGCTGACCCAGCTGGTGACGAGTCCTACTTTTTCCCCCCCGCGTCTCGTCACACGCCAGTAGCCTGCTGTATCTCTTTCTGACCACGCATCCTGTCCCTTTCAGCACTGCTGTCCTGTCCCCCCTGGGTAACTCAGACCACGGTGTTGTGGAGGTTAGGTCTCGGTCAGAACCCGCTGTGGCAGCAGAAAACTTGGCATTACGGACATGCCGTCTGGGAGGGGCTCAGAGACTTCTTCTCTAGCTTTCCTTGGAGAGATGTCTGTTTCACTGACGCGATGCGTCGGCTGTCTATTCTTCGATAACCGAAATTATCCACGTCGGAATGGAGAAATACATCTCTCACACAGTGAAAGTGTCTAAACCAGGGTCCAACAGCTGGTGTAACAAATCGTGTGACACTGTCAACGTCAACGCGGGTGTTCCCCAGGGATCGGTCTTGGCTCCGACACGGTTTCGCTTACATATCAACGACCTCCTTTCCTGCACGATCAACCCAATCCACAGCTTCGCTGATGACAGCACTCTACATGCAGGAATTCAAAGTGACAAGCCGATCTCTGCCGCTGAGCTGGAAAAAAGAAGTCTAGCGACGACTTCCTTTCTGACAAGAGACCTGGAGGCTATCACTGCTTGGGGACGCAACAATCTTGTACAGTTTAATGCTTCCAAAACACAGTACTGTATTTTGACGAAAAAAAGCGTCCTAGCGCTCATCCGGTTTCGATGGATGGCCGAGTTCTGCCAAAGAGCCATTCCTTCCGGCTGGTCGGA